TTATTAGAGAAATTTTATTTATTTAAATAATATCCTTGCTTTAACAACTACTGTTTAGTTTAAAATCTAATTGGAAATAATTGAGGTTAAACACGTTTGTTTATGTAGTTTAGCTTTAATTAAGAAAAGTTAGGTTAAATATATTGTTAAACAACTTTGAGCGGCGGGTTAAACTATACGTTTTTTAAAGAAGTTTTATTGGAAGAGAACTTGTAGAACTTAATTAGTTTTCTAGATACATATAAAGGAGCTTTCCCTGTCCTTTAAAAGAAATAATTTTAAACTAGTTCAAGAACTAGTTCCTGAAAGCATTGGCAGCCTGTATTTGCTTTAATTAGGAGTTGAGATCAAATTGGCATGTTATAATATTCATGGATGTTACGAAGCACTAAAATGTGTCATAGTGTCCATGAACTTTATGACACTTTCAAAAGTATCACAATGTTCATGAGTAAGGTGACATAAAGACACATTTAGAACTGGTTCTGTGGAAGTCTCATGGTGTCAACACTAATACTATGAAATGATTCTGCAACTGCTTCTTTAAATAACGATGTTTGATCAAATTTGTCGGAAGAAGTTATAGGGTAGCTGGTACTGTGGAACCCTCATGGTGTCAACATTCATACTATGAAATGGTTCTAAAACTGCGTCTTTAAATAATGCTGATTGATCGTTTGATTTTGACTTTATGACACTTTCAAAAGTATCACAATGTCCATGAGTAAAGTGACATAAAGACACATTTAGAACTGGTTCTGTGAAACCCTCATGGTGTTAACATTCATACTATGAAATGGTTCTGAAACTGCGTCTTTAAATAATGCTGATTGATCGTTTGATTTTGACTTTATGACACATTCAAAAGTATGTCCATGAGTAAAGTGACATAAAGACACATTTAGAACTGGTTCTGTGGAAGCTTCATGGTGTCAACATTCATACTATGAAATGGTTCTGAAACTGCTTCTTTAAATAATGATGTTTGATCGAATTTGTCGCCTTCAGAAGAAGTTATAGGGTAGCTTTAGAGAACATACATATGTATATTCCTTCTCCAGAACGGTTCTGAAACTAGTTTTCTTTTCGGCAATTTTTGAAAAACAACTGATAAGATATACACTTTATTGAAAACGGAACTTTTTTCAGCAGTTATGTTTAAAATTTTAAAGATCGGAACCAATTTTGAGAAAAGATTAAAAATATAAACACTTTCCTGAGAAAGGTTTTGGAACATTTTCTTTTTTCAGTGATTATTGTTTGAAATTTTGAGAAGCACATGATATTTGTGTAAAACTATTAGTGGCCAAAAACTGTTACCAAGAAAACTCTTTAGTTCTTAAGAATCCCAATAATGTTCCAGAGAACGAGTTAAAGAAGTTATGGCTAGCTGCTATACAAGAATCTAAGGTGTTCAGGTTTCACTTGTTTTACAACAAGTTTTTCAAAACAAATTCTAATAGTTTTTCATTTAAAACAAAAACAAAATACTTTTAAATCCTATTTTGCTCTACACTTACGACTTATCATTCCTGAAAATTAAACTATTCCTAACATACTTGCCTAGAACTCTACTATTAACCGCTATTTTATGTTTGTGTTAGTTGAAGCCAAGGTTGTTAGTGTTGCTGTTTGTTGCTCTTGCTAAGCCAATAGAGTCGCGGCAGCAGCTCGTTTTCGACCATGTTTTTTACTGCTCTTTATAAGTAAGCATAACTTGTTAAACATTTAGCTCTTTTCAATTTCAGCCTTAATAAACATTTTTAACGCTGCAGGCAACATTATGTCCTTTGAGTTGATTTTCTTTTAATTGTGCTGTAATTGTATGAAAATGAGCATTAAAAAAAACAAAACAAAACAAAACAAAAAAATTTCACGAAATACAACCCAAAAAAAAAAATGAGAAAATCACCACTGATGAGAGAGTAAACATATTAAATGAGTGTAGAAAAAAATTAAACCTGCTCGTAGGAACATATAAACCAAAATTTTTGTGCTTTAGGAAGTGATTTAAATGATTTAAATCAAATTAAAAGTATTTGCTATTAATTTCTATAGGAAATTGAAATGTTGTACTACTGCCATCAGGCCTTTTAAAGTATTACATGTTATAATTTGTTGGCGATACAACATGTAATTTATTTTGCTGCTTAGCGACCCATAATTTTGTTTTATTGCTTGCATTTGTTTTTATTAAAGTTTTGTTTGTTTCTTTCTTTTTTTATATAAAAGAAAAAGTAAGTCAGTTAGTTTTGGTTTCAAACACACACAGTTAATTAAGTTTCCTTGAAAGTTATGACATCTAGGAAATACATATTTTTTTGTAGGTTTGTCCCACATTTCTTTTTTGATTTTTTTTCTTTCTTTGTATTGCTGTGGTGCGTCTTATGCGAAAGAAAAAGTATGTTATAAAAAGTTAATTGTTACTTTGTTAATTTTTTTTCCTTAATTTTTAGTTCATTTTGTTAAAGTTTGTGAAGTTATGCTTAGAGGTTGAGAAATGTTAGTTACAATTAAGTAATGTTTAATTTTGTTTAGGAACAACTTAAATATAAACTAAAGAACCATCATCAGTAGAATAATTTTAAATTTGATAAATTCTTAAGTCCCCTTATTTCTCTGAATACAGAGTCCATATCACTTTTTTTTTTTTTTGGTTTAACTATTTTTATCTAGAATTATAAATATAATTGCGGTTTTGCTTTATTCTTATTTAACTTTAACTTATAGAATTCTTATTTGGAATTTTATTTAAAAATAAACAACTTTACTCATTTATATCCTATTAAAACAACTCTTTCTTTCATTTAATTTATAAAAAAATATGCAAAAAAATTACTGCTATTAATAGTATAAAAATTCAGAGAATTGACAGTTTTAGCTTTAAAACTTAAGAAAATTAATTTACGTTATTTTTTTATTTCTTTCTCGAATAAAAATTGCGTCAATTGTTTTGTTCGCTAAACAATTATCAACGCCAATTAAGGTTTTGATGAATATTCTAAGAGGGTAGAGAATAAATTTCCCACTATCAACGTAACTAGTTAAAGTAAGAAAATCACTTAACATTTTGCTGAATTATTACACTAAAGGTACTTTAACACCGAACAAATATTTCACTTAAACGAAAATTCAAAAAGTTTTATAATTTAGTTAAGAGCTTTGTAGTAGATTAGGTAAATAGCTGTTCACAAAATTCTCCAACTAGCCTCGTATAAAACATAGACATGTATGCAAAAGTAGGCGACATTCTTGTGACTTGTCATATAAAAATCTTAGGCATCATTTAGTAAATTTTTAAATTGTATATATTTAATTGAAAACTAAAAAAGTTTTATTAACAAAAATTTAAAGAAAAATATTTTTTAAAACTACATTTAAAGGAATGAAATCTTTGAATAGACAAAATACCCCCTTTAAGCCAATTTTTTCATTAGTATAATTTTCATAATATTAGCTTAAGTCAAAAACAAATATTCAGTCTAAATCTAAATGTATAGAAATATAAAAATATTAACGTAAATTGATAATTTGAAATGTCAAAGATTTGATGATCATATGTTAGTAGTATTTAATAAAAAATTTTCAAAATTTTGGAATCTCAAGATGTAAATTTTGCTTAAAAACTTTAGCTCTAACCTAAAGAGATTCCCTTTTTAGTATTTTAAAAAATTTTCAAAAAAAAAGTATGTAATTATATCAAATTTCAGTTTTATGATAAATTTCAATACAGCATGTACTAATTTGTGCTAAATTTTTAATATTCTTTTAAATTTAGAAATTAAATTTTGAACTTAATTAAAAATGTTATACTAAATCTTCAATATTAATTCAAAAAAATACATTTTTTACAAAAAAAATTAATTTTGAATAATTTATCTTGATTAGCAATTTAAAAATATAAGTTAAATTTTATCACCTTTCTTTTAATTTTGGAAAATTTCAGAATTTTTCATTTAAATTCAAAAGTTAATAAAAATATTTAGAGCACACAATAGCGCTAAAATTATAAGAAGAAAATAGGGTAAATAAAAATCTAAAGCAAAAAAAAAATAAAATTACTATTTTGCAACAAAAAATAAAATAAATTTGCAAAAACACAAAATAATAAAATAAAACCAAAAAAATCTAAAATTCAGTCATAAACATTCCCAGACAAGGAAAATGTGCAAGTACTATTATTGTTGTTTAAACATTTTTACGCTGCGCATTTAAATAAACTAAAGAATTTTTAAGAAAACAAAGAAAAACACAAATAATTACACTAAACTTCGTAAATATTGAAAAAAAAATAATATAACAAAAAGATTTGCTTCTTTTACACAGCTGACATTGAAGTGCCAATTGTAGGTCACTGGGGAAAAATTGTCCGGCTCACAGCAAAAAAAAAAATCATATCAATATGGATGGTATGTCGCCGTCGTTGTCAGTGTGTTTGTTTGAATGTGTGTTATTGAATAAAAAAAGTTTTGGTTTTTTTTATCTATTGGATGGGTTGGCATAGTGGCGAACTTAAGTATTTCATGGATTCAATAATAATAATAATTACTATCATTTAAATCGCCTGTTTTTGGTTAATATTATGATAATGATAACTATATATCGTTGTACACTGTACAACAATTTATACAACATTTAACAAAACACAAACAAAATCATTTATTTACGTTTAACTTGGGCAAATTATTCATTTTATTATCAAAAAAAAAAAATTATTCGTTATTTTTGTGTATTTTAGAGCTTTTTTTGTTTTTGTTGCTGCTTTTGTTTTTGTATCATTTTAGATATACAACACACGTACATACATACATATATTTGGTAGATACTATATACAATTTAAACATACATCTGAATATTTATTTTAATAGCATTCCTCACATCTTGTATTTCTTTTGTTGTTGTTTTTTTTTATTTTTTGTTATTTATGACAATAGTATATATATTTTATATATATGTATGTATGAATATATTTCTATATATAAATAGAATATTTTGTATACCTTCTTTTAATAAGTAAATGGATGTTTATTCATTTCATTTATGTTCCACATACATTCCACACTTTTTATAAAAACGGCCAAAAGGCGAACAAAATAATAAAAAGTAGGAAAAAGTTGTAAAAAAACAATAAGAACTCAACTGTTTATGGTTTTACGTTGTTTTTGTTATATTGTTATTGTTGTATTATGTCTAACTTCACATACACAAACATACGCGTGTTTACATTTATTTATTTCGGTTTTTTAATCTCTTTTTTTGTTTAGTTTTTTACCGTTCACTGTTATTTTCTAACTATTTTTTTATTTTGTTTTATTTTTTTCTCGCTTTTTTTGCATTTCCCACAAAATAATAACAACTACACTGCTCTATACACTCATGTGTAACTTCTTTTCCGCTACACTGGCATTTTCGTTTTCATTTGCAATTGTTTTTTTTTTTATTTCTCTAATATAATTTTTTTTATTATTATTATTGTTGTATTAACTTGTGTGTCTGTCTGATTTATTTGATTTTTCTCGTTTGAGTAGAGGTGCAAAATAGTAGAGAGTCGGTCGCATGCAAGCAATTTACTAGAAATTTTTTGTGAAACGAAAATTTATAAATAAAATGTAGCACAAAACAAGAAAGAAAAATAAGAAAAAAATCTGAAAGACACCAAATCAAATTACGTAATAATTGACTGACTGTGTGGTGTTTATAGGAGGCGCAGCAGCAGCAGGCAGGCATGTGTGTAAAGTAGTACTTACTTTTTTTCTTTTTGGTTTTTTTGCAAAAGAAAATAAAGCATTTTCGGTTTTAATTTTCTTTGCCATTATTACAGAAAAGAGCAGAAATGAAAATTGCTTTTTAGTTATGTTAAAATAAACAAATCAAAAACAATAGAAACATGCAACAATTTTTTAACATTGAATAATTTATTTTTTTCGTATAATTTTTTCGTTTACCTCACGGTGAAGAAAGAATAGCAACGTTGCTGGGACTTTTTTAAATGTTTCTTTTCTCAACAGGGTGTTTCAATAAAATTTCATTACTTTTGTTCACTCTTTCTGATCGTAACAACAAAGGAAAGTATATGCAAAATATAAACAATGACATCTTTCAGTTCATAATTTATAATTTTAAAAACATTCGTATATAATTATGTGGTGAAACATTTTAAGGGGCTCGTCATTTAGTGTTTGTTGTTGCTGTTTTCGGGTGACTGCAGTTAATCGAACTTTTGTAAATAAATAGCGGTTATTTGACAAATCGTTATTGATGGCAAAGAGTTGCCACTATTTTGGAATATACAAAAAACGCTATACATTTTATAATGCTACGAAAACAGCGACTATGGGATGATAATATACAATTGTTCCTATTTTTATAATAGGGCAAGTATAGTTTAAATAACATGTTAAAGAATAAAATTAAGATTAAATGTTTTAAATCATTGATAATAATTAGAAATTATAAAATAACAGTATTTAAAAGAACGGTTATTTGGCCTATTTCGAATATGCTTTAATTTTCAACAAAAAGGCAATATGTAAAATAAAACTTTGTTTGTGAATATGGGGGGTAACAATTGGTTTTTGTGTATTATGGGTTAAAAATCATTGAATCACCCTGTTTATAAAAATCCTGTAAATTATTTTCTTATTGTTGCCAACTTTTATTATTTAAACAGAGCTGCCGATGCTTACAATAAAAATAAAGGTAATTTTAGGGTAATTGTGATATTTGCTGCATTCTGATATTTACTGAACGTGTAACATGCAATATTGATGGATCGTGTTCCATAGCACAGAAAACCCCAATATTTATCATGGATGACGTGATAAATATTGAACGTGTAGCGATACATTTGTAAAATACATATGAAAAAATAAAATCAAATCAAAATTAAATATTGTTTTAAAAGTTGTTAGAAAATATAAAAGAAGATAGTTGACCTGTATACCCTAAAAAAAATGAAAATACTGACGTGTAGCATAGTGGCGGTATTTATCAATCTATTAAAATAAGTCGTGATCCAAATTTATCAATACATATTGAACTTGTATCATACAATAAAAAGCTATACAAATTACATAATATATATTTATCAAATTTATTAAATTATTATTAAGTGAATTGCTTTTTATTATACATAAATATTTTTTAAAACAGATCTGCCTTTTATGGAAGCATGTTTTTTATATTAATAATAAGTTAAAAACGTAAAAGTTATTATTAATAAATTTTACATTTTTAATTAGCAATTTACAGGGTATATATAATAGCAATTATATTATTTATTAAGTTTTAGAATATGCAAATTTATAATTATATTTTTTGAATCGAATTAAATAACACAATTTATTGCAACACTCATATTATTTTTTAATGGATACATAAATTTCGTCACAAACGTTCAAAACTTTTAATTTCTATTTTAGTTACCATTAATGGTTATTAGGTGCTAATGTCATGACATAAACAATAATTTTTGTTCATGCATGCACAACACCGACGACATTTACATATGTAATTTTTCTTCGAATCGTTTGTTCTAGTTTTCCCCCTTTTTTACAAAAGTGACTAAATTGCCGCTTATGAGTTGTATATGTATGTATGTATATGAAAAAAAATGTATACATAAATTAAAAATTTTCACATGTTTCCATTAAAGCGGCTTTATTGGCCTTATAAATAATCAATCGAATAAAATTGAGTTAATAAAACTTTAATTTACAGGTGTGACAAAAAATTTAATTATTACCTTGTCTGATCTGACCTTATTTGGCAAACAGTTACAATGTTTGCACACTCACCGCAAACAACACAATAACAATAGCTTTTAACATGTTTTGGCAAATGATCTTACCAAATATGGTTTAAAAACACGGGCTAATACTTTGATAATTGCAGTTGATTGTATGAGCATGTTCTTTTTGATATAACTTTAAAATTACCTTTGCAGTTATTAAATTTGTAAATTCAATTCAAATTTGGTGAAACGTTAACTAAACTCACAAAAAATAATGCTTGATTTACCCATTCACAATTTTATCTTGTTACGTCATATGAGCTGGGACCGTTTTCAAAAGAATATCCTTATGGCTTCAACGATTTTTACATCCTTAAATTAAAAATTGAACCTTATTAAAAAATATGTATGTATATGTAATTGTTTTCTTGTGTTTTTTCTCCATGCTATATTAGTTGGTTTTTCAGGAAACAATTAACAGTTTCATTGGCGGAACAGGATTGGAACCAGTACAAAATGAAAGAGTGCACGGAAAATGGATCGAGCAGATAGACAGTCTAATCACTACTATCTAGAGACAAATCTAGCTAAGCGATCGATCTAGATCATCATAGACACTGACTATCTATCTACTATCTAGCGATATCATACAATCATCTATCGATGCTAATCGATAGCTATCTAATCGATCTATCGATCTATCATCTATCTAGCTATCTATCATCTATCTATCTATCTATCTATTCATCTATCTATATCTATCTCTAGATATCTATCTATCTACATGATCTATCTATCTATCTATCTATCTATCTATCTATCTATCTATCTATCTATCTATCTATCTATCTATCTATCTATCTATCTATCTATCTATCTATATCTATCTATCTATCTACTATCTATCTATCTATCTATCTATCTATCTATCTATCTACTATCTATCTATCTATCTATCTATCTATCTATCTATCTATCTATCTATCTATCTATCTATCTATCTATCTATCTATCTCTATCTATCTATCTATCTATCTATCTATCCTATCTATCTATCTATCTATCTATCTATCTATCTATCTATCTATCTATCTATCTATCTATCTATCTATCTATCTATCTATCTATCTATCTATCTATCATATCTATCTATCTACTATCTATCTATCTATCTATCTATCTATCTATCTATCTATCTATCTATCTATCTATCTATCTCTATCTATCTATCTACCTATCTACCTATCTACCTATCTACCTATCTACCTATCTATCTATCTATCTATCTATCTATCTATCATCTATCTATCTATCTATCTATCTATCTATCTATCTATCTATCTATCTATCTATCTATCTATCTATCTATCTATCTATCTATCTATCTATCTATCTATCTATCTATCTATCTATCTATCTATCTATCTATCTATCTATCTATCTATCTATCTATCTATCTCAAAATCGCTCAAATTCCGTAGGCTGCGCTTTTCCAAAAAATAAAATACAAACTTCAATTAATAAACATTATTATTAAAACCCTTTGCTTTTTAAACAAAATTTTACTATAATTACATAATAATTTTTCCACTAAAAAATTACAAGTTTTACAGAAAATACCATAACAACTCTTAATGTATTTAAAAAATTGTCAATTTTCTTAAAAACTAAAAAATATATTTTTTCTTTCGTTTCAGATCCATGAGGTACAATTCAACTGTAGATAATTTCATTAAGACGTACATTTCCCCTACCCAATATTTCACATATTAAATGGCAACACTCCCGTCGACATTTTTAGTAACAGCCGCCGATGTTAATTTGTTATCGGCTCAGTGTTCTGTTTGCTGCACAAAAGAAACATCGCGAATTTTTTTACAAATATTGAGGAAAAATAAGAAGCGTACGAAATTATTGATTCCTTTCCATAAGAAGATCAATTAAAAATCGTTTGACAAAATGAGTATTGAAGAGGTAATTTTAATGGAAACAAATTTTGCAAAAAGCAATTTAACTAAATTTAATTAAATCTCTTTATAGTTGCGAAAAGATTCTGAGGAATTTACAAAACTTTTGTCAGAAGCTACCCGCCAGCGTGTTAAGGACGCACTTATCCATGCCAAAGCTGAGGTGGATCGTGAGATAGTAACATTGGAATTTAAGGCTAAACAAGCCGAAGAACGTAAAGAGCAAGGACCCAGAAGGTAGGCGGAAACTATTCGCATCTCAAACTATGTTCTAGAAAATTCGTTTGTTTGATTGTTTACTAAAGTGCATTTGTTTTGTTTTTTTCTTTGTTTTCTACAGATATTTTTGTGAATTAACAGAATACGGTTGGGATCAAAGTGACAAGTTCGTAAAAATATTCATTACATTGGGTGGCGTCCAAAATTTAGATGAATCATCTGTTGTCACTAAATTTACTGAAAAGTCATTGAACGTAAACGTGCTAAATTTGCATGGCAAAGATTATGGTCTTGTAATTAACAATCTACTAGAACCCATAGATGTTGTTAAAAGTTATCGCAAGATAAAAACTGGCATGATTGCCATTTATCTGAAAAAAGTCAACGAGAATAGACATTGGTCTTGTTTGACTTCGATACAAAAACGTCTAAAGGAACAACAGGATAGCGAATTAAAGTCATCGGACTCTGATAATCCTTCGGATGCTCTTGTTAATATAATGAAGAAAATGTATCAAACCGGAGACACCAAAACCAAGCAAATGATTGCCAAAGCCTGGACCGAAAGTCAGGAAAAGATTCATAAAGGTGATGGCAGCGGTTTGGATTTACCAACCATATAAATTAAATAAGACAAATGGATGTGTAAAAGAGCAGCCGTCTACTAGAATAGTTGAATTATTTTAAATGGAATTTTTGATGTTCGAATCATTAATTATTCCTAATTCCTCTTGAATTGTTTTATGTACAATTCCATAGTTTTTAAATTCCGTATTTGTACAAATACTTACACATGTATTCTAATTGTAATTTTGTACTAATTCAATCCTAGCTTAATAGTCATCCTAAAGTTTAATCATTTATATAAATAACTCGTAAACATTTCATAATTTATATATATACAGTGAATTTATAAACAAAGTTTTAAATTAAATTGTTTAAATTAAATACTAAACGAAAATATTTTATTTTAACAATTGCATTTGGTTGAATCGTAAGTATGTAATATACAAAATCATTCATTTACTTTAAAACAGTCGTTAATAGTTTGCGAGCGTTTTTAAAAATCAATGATAGCGTTTTGAAGACAATATTCTTTTCTGTAAACATATCAATTTTGGTGATCATAGCTCCAATATTAGGCATGCTTTGGACAAAACTGTGAATTTAAGATTCAACTAAGATAAGATGTTTTTATGGCTTTATCACCAATAAGTTTCAAGAGCTATAACTCAGAAACTACTGAAGCGTTTTATACGATTTCTAGTTTTGCATACATGTAAAAATTTCATCATAAAGATACATATGCTCTAAAATATTATAAATTTTCGTTTTAAAACGCTCCCGAAACGCAACTGTAACTTCAATATATAATAACTTCCGAACCAGCCAAGCTTTTTCCAAAATTTCTTCACTATAGTATAGACTTTTAAATTAGCTTTCATAAGCTTCGCAATTTTTTGAAAACTGCCACGCCCATAGAGCGTTATATAGCATTTTTAAATTTAAAAGCTTATGAAACCGAAATTGAGGAGCTTTGTTAATCTTTTCTTAACACTTTAGATTTATCATATCTTTCTCTACAAGCGTGCCAAATTTCATCTAAAAAGCTCAAAAAACATCGAAGTTATAAGCAAATTTGTGAATTTATGTTTATGCCACAAAAAGTGATTTTTCAAAAATTAATTTTTTTTGTGAAGTACTAGGAAAACATAATCGAACAGTAGGTGGATTTTACATCGTACTTTTTTTTGAAACGCTATATCTCGGAAACTAAGAAAGATAACTGAACTTTCTTTTTGACATATAATAGCTTAGGAATTGAGCTATCATTTGGATCGAAAATTTTTTCGCAAATGCCACGCCCATTATGAAAAAAATGGGCGTTTTACTTTAAAACGCTTGTAAAAACGTAATTTATAAGAGTTTTTCAAAAATAATGATGGCATCTTTTAGATGATATCTTTGTCTATAAATATGTCGAATTTTATAGTCATAGCTCTAATATTGGCTAGGCTTTAAACAAATATGTGATTTTAAGATTTTACCACAAAAAGCTGTTTATGTTGCCTTATCATATTTTTTTACAAACGGTATAACTCTGAAACTACCCAAGCGATTCATATGATTTCTTCTGTATGTAAAAGTTTGGAAAATGGACTTTTACATGGATCCCAAATTTGTGTAAAACTGCCACGCCCATTACGACAAAAGTAGGCGTTTTACTTTAAAACGCTTATAATTACATAATGAAGAAGCGTTTTTAAAAATTAATGACAGCATATTGTAGACAATATCTTTCTTCATAAACATGCCAAATTTGGTGGTCATAGCTAAAATATTGGCCAAGTTTTGGTCAAAACTGTGATTTTTAGATTCAACCAAATCAAGCTGTTTTAATGGCTGCATCACCAATTAGTTTCAAGCGTTGTAGCTCAGAAACTATTTAAGCGTTTTAAACGATTTCTTCTTCATATGATAGATTTCGAAATCTAGTTTTGTATAGATGCAAAATTTTCAGCCTACAGATTCGACTCCCGGGAAATACTCTAAATTTACGTTTTAAAACGCTCCCGAAACTTAACAGTAACTTTAACATGTAATAACTTCCAAACCAGTCAAGCTTTTTCAAAAATTTCTTCACTGTAGCGTCGATTTTTAATTCGACTTTCATATGCTAGGCATTTTTTTGAAAACTGCCACGCCCATTTTGCGTTTTAAACTTTTTATGTTTAAACGCTTATAAAACTTGAGGTTGAGGAGCGTTATGAAATTTTTTTCAATGTATTGATTTGTCGTATTTTTCTCTTCATCCATGCCAAATTTCATCCACATAGCTTAAAATCTCTAGCGGTTATAAGCTATTTTCTGAATTTTGGTTTATTCCACAAAAAACGATTTTCTAAAAATGCTATTTTTTTTTGTGAAGTACTAGGAAAACATAATCAAACAGTAGGTGGATTCCACGTCGAACTTTTCTTTGAAACGCTATAACTCAAAAATTAAGGAAGATACCTGAATTTTGTTTTCGGCATCTAAATGCTTAGGAATTGAGCTATCGTTTGCATGAAAAATTTTTTACCAAATGCCACGCCCATTATGAAAAAAGTGAGCGTTTTACTTTAAAACGCTTGTAAAAACGTAATTTATAAGAGTTTTTCAAAAATAATGATGGCATCTTTTAGATGATATCTTTGTCTATAAATATGTCGAATTTTATAGTCATAGCTCTAATATTGGCTACGCTTTAAACAAATATGTGATTTTAAGATTTTACCACAAAAAGCTGTTTATGTTGCCTTATCATATTCTTTTACAAATGGTATAACTCTGAAACTACCCAAGCGATTCATATGATTTCTTCTGTATGTAAAAGTTTGGAAAATGGACTTTTACATGGATCCCAAATTTGTGTAAAACTGCCACGCCCATTACAACAAAAGTAGGCGTTTTACTTTAAAACGCTTATAATTACATAATGAAGAAGCGTTTTTAAAAATTAATGACAGCATATTGTAGACAATATCTTTCTTCATAAACATGCCAAATTTGGTGGTCATAGCTCCAATATTGAGCAAGTTTTGAACAATATTGTGATTTTTAGATTCAACCAAATCAAGCTGTTTTAATGGCTGCATCACCAATTAGTTTCAAGCGTTGTAGCTGAGAAACTATTTAAGTGTTTTAAACAATTTCTTCTTCATGTGATAGATTTGGGAATCTAGTTTTGTATAGATGCAAAAATTTTATCCTACAGATTCGACTCCCGGGAAATACTCTAAATTTACGTTTTAAAACGCTCCCGAAACTTAACAGTAACTTTAACATGTAATAACTTCCAAACCAGTCAAGCTTTTTCAAAAATTTCTTCACTGTAGCGTCGATTTTTAATTCGACTTTCATATGCTAGGCATTTTTTTGCAAACTGCCACGCCCATTTTGCGTTTTACACTTTTTATGTTTAAACGCTTATAAAACTTGAGGTTGAGGAGCGTTGTGAAATTTTTTGAAATACTCTGATTTGTCGTATTTTTCTCTACATCCATGCCAAATTTCATCCACATAGCTTAAAATCTCTAGCGGTTATAAACTATTTCCTGAATTTTTGTTTATTCCACAAAAAACGATTTTCTAAAAATGCTATTTTTTTTGTGAAGTACTAGGAAAACATAATCAAACAGTAGGTGGATTCCACGTCGAACTTTTCTTTGAAACGCTATAACTCGGAAATTAAGGAAGATACCAGAATTTTGTTTTTGGCATCTAAATGCTTAGGAATTGAGCTATCGTTTGCATAAAAAATTTGTTACCAAATGCCACGCCCATTATGAAAAAAGTGGGCGTTTTACTTTAAAACGCTTGTAAAAACGTTAATTAAAAGCGTTTTTTAAAATTAATGATGGCATCTTATAGGTGATATCTTTGTCTATAAATATGTCGAATTTTATAGTCATAGCTCTAATATTGGCTACGCTTTAAACAAATATGTGATTTTGAGATTTTACCACAAAAAGCTGTTTATGTTGCCTTATCATGTTTTTTTACAAACGGTATAACTCTGAAACTACCCAAGCGATTCATATGATCTCTTCTGTATGTAAAAGTTTGGAAAATGGACTTTTACATGGATCCAAAATTTGTGTAAAACTGCCACGCCCATTACGACAAAAGTAGGAGTTTTACTTTAAAACGCTTATAATTACATAATGAAGAAGCGTTTTTAATAATTAATGACAGCATATTGTAGACAATATCCTTCTTCATAAACATGCCAAATTTGGTGGTCATAGCTCCAATATTGAGCAAGTTTTGAACAAAATTGTGTTTTTTAGATTCAACCAAATCAAGCTGTTTTAATGGCTGCATCACCAATTAGTTTCAAGCGTTGTAGCTGAGAAACTATTTAAGTGTTTTAAACGATTTCTTCTTCATGTGATAGATTTGGAAATCTAGTTTTGTATAAATGCAAAATTTTTACCCAACAGATTCACCTCCTCCGAAATACTCTAAATTTACGTTTTAAAACGCTCCCGAAACTTAACAGTAACTTTAACATGTAATAACTTCCAAACCACTCAAGCTTTTTCAAAAATTTCTTCACTGTAGCATAGATTTTTAATTCGACTTTCATATGCTAGGCATTTTTTTGAAAACTGCCACGCCCATTTTGCGTTTTAAACTTTTTATTTTTAAACGCTTATAAAACTTGAGGTTGAGGAGCGTTATGAAATTTTTTTCAATGTTCTGATTTGTCGTATTTTTCTCTATATCCATGCCAAATTTCATCCACATAGCTTAAAATTTCTAGCGGTTATAAGCTATTTCCTGAATTTTGGTTTATTCCACAAAAAATGATTTTCTAAAAATTCTATTTTTTTTGTGAAGTACTAGGAAAACATAATCAAACAGTAGGTGGATTCCACGTCGAACTTTTCTTTGAAACGCTATAACTCGAAAATTAAGGAAGATACCTGAATTTTGTTTTCGGCATCTAAATGCTTAGGAATTGAGCTATCGTTTGCATAAAAAATTTTTTACCAAATGTCACGCCCATTATGAAAAAAGTGGGCGTTTTACTTTAAAACGCTTGTAAAAACGTTAATTAAAAGCGTTTTTAAAAATTAATGATGGCATCTTATAGGTGATATCTTTGTCTACAAATATGTCGAATTTTACAGTCATAGCTCTAATATTGGCTACGCTTTAAACAAATATGTGATTTTAAGATTTTACCACAAAAAGCTGTTTATCTTGCCTTATCATATTTTTTTACAAACGGTATAACTCTGAAACTACCCAAGCGATTCATATGATTTCTTCTGTATGTAAAAGTTTGGAAAATGGACTTTTACATGGATCCCAAATTTGTGTAAAACTGTCACGCCCATTACGACAAAAGTAGGCGTTTTACTTTAAAACGCTTATAATTACATAATGAAGAAGCGTTTTTAAAAATTAATGACAGCATATTGTAGACAATATCTTTCTTCATAAACATGCCAAATTTGGTGGTCATAGCTAAAATATTGGCCAAGTTTTGGTCAAAACTGTGATTTTTAGATTCAACCAAATCAAGCTGTTTTAATGGCTACATCACCAATTAGTTTCAAGCGTTGTAGCTCAGAAACTATTTAAGCGTTTTAAACGATTTCTTCTTCATGTGATAGATTTGGAAATCTAGTTTTGTATAGATGCAAAAATTTTATCCTACAGATTCGACTCCCGGGAAATACTCTAAATTTACGTTTTAAAACGCTCCCGAAACTTAACAGTAACTTTAACATGTAATAACTTCCAAACCAGTCAAGCTTTTTCAAAAATTTCTTAACTGTAGCATAGGTTTTCAATTCAACTTTCATATGCTAGGCATTTTTTTGCAAACTGCCACGCCCATTTTGCGTTTTACACTTTTTATGTTTAAACGCTTTTAAAACTTGATATTGAGGAGCGTTGTGAAATTATTTTATATGTTCTAATTTGTCGTATTTTTCTCTACATCTATGCCAAATTTCATCCACATAGCTTAAAATCTCTAGCGGTTATAAGCTATTTCCTGAATTTTGGTTTATTCCACAAAAACTATTTTCTAAAAATTCTATTTTTTTTTGTGAAGTACTAGGAAAACATAATCGGACAGTAGGTGGATTCCACGTCGAACTTTTCTTTGAAACGCTATAACTCGAAAATTAAAGAAGATAACTGTATTCTGTTTTTGCAACCTAAAAGCTTAGGAATTGAGCTATCATTTGAGTGCAATATTTTTTCCCAAATGCCACGCCCATTATGAAAAAGTGGGCGTTTTATATTAAAACCCTTGTAAAAGCTTGAATTTACAAGCGTTTTTTTAAATCAATGATGTTATCTTGTAGACGATATTGTTTTCTATAAATATGTCAAATTTTATAGTCATAGCTGCAATATTGGTTGCGCTTTTAACAAATTTGTGATTTTAGAATTTTACTCTAAAAAGCTGTTTGCGTGGCCTAACCATTGATTACTTCCAAACGTTATAACTAAGAAACTATTAAAGCGTTTTACATGATTTCTTTTTTATGTTAAAGCTTGGGAAATATACTTTCACATGAAATCAAAATGTTTGCCCGACGACCACGCCCATTATGGAAAAAGTGGGCGTTTTATTTTAAAACGCTTGTAAAAACTTGAATGACCAGCTTTTGTAAAATTTTAAGATGTTATCTTGTAGGCATCATTCTTTTCTATAAACATGCAAATTTATAGTGGTACAGCTCCAATGTTGGAGATGTTTTGAACTAAAAAGGTGTTTTTATGATGTTCCTATTGTAATGCTTTGTCAATAATTACTTTCAAACGTTATAACTTAAAAACTAAACAAGCTTTTTAAATGATTTTTTCTTTGTTTAAAGATAAGGAAATTGACTTTCAAGTGGGCGTTGAAAAAACTAAGAATATTGGCATTTTATAAATTTTATGAAGGAAAATTGTCGAGTATATTTTCGTTATACTATTAGTTAAATGTTAAGCTGCTAATTTTAAAATTGAATTAATTCTAAGCAATATGAGATGCATTGCAAACAATAATTTTATAATTTTGTTTATATTTGTTCCTTTATTACATTTTTGTGTATTTATTTGTTTGTATGTATGTTGTTTATGTTAATTTTTTTTATTTATATTTTATAATTTATAAATTTGTGGAATGAATTATTTGACATTCGTATAATAATGAATACATTTTAAATATTTCTTGTAAATGATAATGATTTTTGTTCAAATTACTTTAATGGTGTTATTAAATAAACAATCTTTAATAAACTACAGTGTTTAGTTTTAATAATAAATTTTATATATTAGATGTTTTTCATTTTCTAAATAAATGAGTGCTTTAAATATTTTATAGATTTTTTATATGTATTTTGTTAATTAATAATTAATTTGTTTTTAAAGGCTGCCAGTCATTTATTAACGTTTACAGTTTTAGCTAAAACGTTGTATTTATATGTATATGTTTTTATAACTAATTTCTTTAATTTAATGTTCTTTTATGGATTTTTCTTAAGAGGCACAACTATTTTTTTCTTAATTTGTTTATTTATTATTATATAACAATATTTTATTTGATAAAATATTTCATTTAAATCATAAAATTAAATAATGAATTAAAATGTGTTTTTTTTAAATAAATCACTTTTTCATATTTAAAAAATAAGATTATTTAAAAATGAATTATAAAATAATTTTAATAATAAAACTTAAATATTAATTATATTTAGGTCTTTTTGTTCATTGTATTTGTTAAAAGCTGCTTAAAAATTATTGATTATTTCACTAATTATAAAGTATTCTTAATATTTCTTTTTTTTTTTTTATTTATAAAAATACTTTTTTTAATTTATGGTTTATTGCTTAAAACATTTTTCCTGATTAACCTGAAAAATGTGTGATTTTATTTTGTTTTTTCTTTTTTTTAATTGCACTTTTTAAATTTTTATTTTTTTGTTTTGTTTAAAATATATTTGAGTTTAAATACATATTTTCTATAACGAAAAACCTTAAAAAGTAATAATAGATGCTTTGTTCTTTATGTATAAATAATATTGGAAATTATTTTAAATAATAATAAAAACTAATCATGTCTTTTAAAAAGAAGTCATTGTTTTGTATGAAAAAAACTAACAAAATACTTTTAAAGAAAAATTAAAATAATAAAATTATTTTAGACTCACTAGGGACGCGGAAATTTGTAAATAAAAATTATTTTTTTTAAAAGGAATGTTTTTTGTTTTTTTAATTTACATTAATTATTATAATTTTTACACTAATATTTTTCATAATTTAAATCTTAATTTAAAAATTCCAATAGTTTAACAAAAATAGCTGTTTTTCCAAATCTAAAGCCGATTTAAAGCATTTGTTATAGATTTCTTGTTTCACATAAAATACTATCAATAACGATAATTTTTATAATCTTTAACCGGTTAAGAATGCAATTCAGCCTGAATCGAATGCAAATTTGCAAATTTTACTCGCTCACAAATGCAGTAATTCGGTCTGTTGATTTATATAATGACTTAATTTTTAGCTGTCAGTTATGCAGTCTAATTTTTAACTAAATATTTCTACAACTTCTACAACAAGTTTAACTAATTCTACTATATACTGCTACAAAATGATCGCCTTCAATATTAGAGATTATAGTCTATACTATAGTCAAGGTCAAAGTCAAGACAATAGTCTATTTCCTGAACAGTAGTCTAAACTATAGTGAAGACCAAAGTATAGACAAGACTATATTCCAGAATAAAGTTTATAATATATGTAACAAAGATAATAAGTAGTCTAGGCTATAGTCAAGGCAATAGTCAAGACTATTGCCGAGACTATAGTTAAGACATTAGTCTATTTTATAGTCCAAACTTTAGTCTTTAATGTAGATTATAGTCAGGACAATAGTCTAGACTATTTAGTCTTTAATCAAGACTATAGTTAGGACAATAGTCTAGAGTCTAGTCTATATTCCGGACAATAGTCTAGACTATAGTCAGAATAATAGTCTAGATTGTAGTGAGGATAATAGTATAGACTATATTCAGGACAATAATCGAAACTATAGTCAGGACAATAGTCTAAACTATAGTCAGGACAATAGTCTAGACTATAGTAAGGACAATAGTCTAAACTATAGTCAGGACAATAGTCTAGACTATAGTAAGGACAATAGTCTAGACTATAGTCAGGACAATAGTCTAGACTATAGTCAGGACAATAGTCTAGACTATTTAGTCTATATTCAGGACAATAGTCTAGAGTATAGTTAGGACAATATTCCAGACTATAGAAAGGACAATAGTCTAGACTATAGTCAGGACAATAGTCTAAACTATAGTCAGGACAATGGTCTAAACTATAGTCAGGATAATAGTCCAGACTATAGTCAGGACAAGAGCCTAGACTATAGTTAGGACAAGAGTCTAGACTATAGTCAGGACAATAGTCTAAAATATAGTCAGGACAATATCTAAAATATAGTCAGGACAATATTCAGGACAATAGTCTAGACTATATTCAGGACAATAGTCTAGACTATAGTCAGGACAATGGTACAGACTATAGTCAGGACAATAGTCTAGACTATAGTCAGAACAATTGTCTAGATTATATTCAAGACAAGAGTCTAGACTATAGTCAGAATAATAATCTAGATTGTAGTGAGGATAATAGTCTAGACTATATTCAGGACAATAGTCTAGACTATAGTCAGGACAAGTGTCTAGAGTATAGTCAGGGCATGAGTCTTGACTATAGTAAGGACAAGAGTCTAGACTATATTCAGGACAAGAGTCTAGACTATAGTCAGGACAAGAGTCTAGACTATAGTCTGGACAAAAGTCTAGACTATAGTCAGAACAATAGTCTAGAATATAGTCAAGGCAATAGTCTATACTATTTAATATTTAAGTCCAGACTATAGTCAGAACAATAGTCTAGTCTTTAGTCAGGGCAATAGTTTAGTCTATAGTCAGGACATAGTCTAGACTGTAATCAGTATAATAGTCTAGACTATAGTCAGTAAAATAGCTACGACAATAGTCTAGATTATAGTCAAGGCAATAGTGTAGACTTTAGTCAAGACAATAATTTAGACTAAAGCTAGACTATCAAGAGAAGTAGTCTTAACTATAGTTTATACTAAAGTCAATTCTTATTGTTGTTATTTCCTTTCTAACGTGTAGTAAAGGCACTCAAGAAATGAGCACCACTCATATCGAATTGCTGCTCATAACTTTCATCGGCCGATGATGATGCATTCTGTGCATTAGCTGCCGCAGTAGCTAAAGCTGCTATACTGCTGTTGTTGTTGTTATTGTTGATATGATTGGCACTGCTAGCGCCTTTAAGTTGTTCCATATCGATGAGAGGGGGTTTATCACCCGGCTTCCAGCGCCTGTGTATACCCATAGATTTTAGTTTTTGACATACAGAAGAAGGTGATATAGCATAACCTTTTTCGGCCAAGCGAGCCGATACTTTCCAGTATTGTATATTGTTATCTTCTTTAATTAGTTCTAAAATTTCGCGAGTAATTTCTTTATCGCGTACTTCACGTTCGGCGGCCTTAAGGCGACGTCTGGGATTAGAGTGTTTTTGTTCAGGGTGGTTGGGTTGTTGTTGGGTGGTTGTTTGTTGTTGCAATTGTTTTTGTTGCTTTTGCAGTAGTTGTTGTTGTTGCTGTTCAAGTTCTCTTTCCTGTTGGCGTTTGTAGTTTTTGCTGTTCCAGTTGTTGTTGCTGCTGTTGCAACTGTTGTTGTCTTTGTAGCAGTTGTTGGATTTGTTGTTGCTGTTGTAAATGTTGTTGCTGCAATTTCTGTTGGTGGTCCAATTGCTGCTGCACCAGTAGGGCCTGTTGCTGTCTTTCTGTATCCGTTTCTCGTCTTGTATCACTACCTTCACTTAATACGCTGCCCGTGTCTTCATCGTGTCTCATCATGGTCATGCGAATATCACGTCTATTGCGATATGATAGCGGTACTCCCTTTATTATGGCATCTCTTAATTTCCAAGCAGTCATTTGTGAGACATTAAGGGCCTTGGCTATTTCCATAGTTGAGGCATTTTGTGCCACCAACATTTTGGCCATGGCATATTTTTCATCGTCTATGAAAACGTTGGGTTTGCGGGGTTTCTTCTTGGAACCACTGAGGTTGTTCGATGATCTGTAATGGGGGTTTGGAATTGGGTAGAAAGACAGGGTGAGGAAAAGGCGAAAGATAAAAAGGGGACGAAAAACCAGAAGGGGCACGACAGAGAAAGGCAAAGGGCACGAAAAAGGCAAAGGGGCACGAGAAATGCACAGGGGCACGAAAAGGCAAAGGGGCAGGAAAACGGCCAAGAGGCACGAAAAAAGCAAAGGGGGACGAAAAAGGCAAAGGGGGACAAAAAGGAAAAGTGGTCACGAAAAAGTAAAATGTGGCACGAAAAATGAAAATTTCATGAAAATTAAAATGTGTCACGAAAATTCAAGGTTTTTACAAATAAATTCAAATTTTCACTAAAAATTCAAATTGTCAATTAAAATTACAATTTTCACTAAAAATTCAAATTTTTATACAAAATAAAAATTTTCACTAAAAATTAAAATTTCACTAAAAATAGACATTTTTACTAAATTCATTAAAAATTTAAATATTCTTTGAAAACCCAGTTTTTATAAATATGGATTTTTAACTAAAAATCCAAATTTTCACTAAAATTTCTAATTTTCACTAAATATCCGAATTTTCATTAAAAACCCAAAATTTTATTAGAAAATCTAAAATTTTTCACTTACGTTTCACTATTCTGCATAGAAGCAATGGGACGTATTGAAAGATTGACAGGTAATTGATGACTATAAAAAATAAACAACAAATACATTAATGTAATTAACAAATTCATTAAATCAATAAAAACTTATTAAACTTACATAGCAGCTGCTACAGCTGGTGATATCTGATTTAATAGAGGCAATTTTTTAGCATTGCCCAAGGGATTTGAAGGAGCATCTTCAGTATCTTTTAAATTAATTGATTTTTGTAAATATAAAGATTGTTGTTGTTGTTGTTGACTATTTACATGTTCAGTCTCTTGTTGTATTTGTTGTTCGTGTGTCTGATGAGAACGTTGATATTGATGATGATCATCATCATCATTATCACTGTCCGAATCGCTAGCGTCATCATTGTTATTATTAAGGTGAGCATTTTTATTAATTTCCATAAGTCTTTGTTGTTGTACTACAGATATTTTATTGTGCAATTTATGTTGTTCTAATATGGCGTTTGTTGTTGCAGTTGATAAATGTTGTTGTTGTTGTGTTTGCTGCTGAGCATTATTTAATTTCAATTCATTTGTTCGTTGTATTACTGAAGTGGCATTACTAAAATTATTACTTTCTCTTAATAATTGTTCTTGTTGCTGTTGTTGTAGTTCCAGGTGATGTTGCTCCAGTTGCTGTTGGTGATGGTGTTGTTCCTCATTATCTGTTTCTTGATTATTATCATTAATATCATCTTCCTCTTCATCTTCGGTAGCTGGCCGTTCACGTTTGATGTGTTCGGTAAAGGGCTGATGATTTAATTGATTTTCGGGTTTTTTCTATTGCTAATGTGTCGAGTCCATTATCGGGCATTTCAGTTTCATTGTTATCATTATCCTCTTCTTCATCTTCCGGAGGATCAATGACACGCTCATGCAAACTGACGCCATTGACAAGACTTTTACGCAAACGCCAGGCAAATGTCCGTGATATATTCAATTCATTAGCAATAACAGTGGTGGTGGCTTCCCTTAGTATCAATTGTTTGGCCAAGGCAATTTTCTTCGCATCTAACTTGATGCGAGTGCGTCCCTTGCGTTTGTTGTTGGCCATGATAATTCTGTAAACGGAGGGAATGTTTAAATGTTTTATTTCTTAATAAAACTAATAATTTAGAAACACCGTAATATTTGAACTTACTTTCTGTTATGGAGATAAATAGCATTTTCCGGTTTGCGTATGCCAATGCGTCTGGGGAAATTGTTATATTGCACGATATGTTGGGGGAAAAGTGGGGGCAAGGCCGGAAAGGGCACAAAAACAAACAAAAGCAAGAAAAGGACGAGGCAGGAAGGGCGAGGAGCGAGGGAGCGAGCGAGCGAGCGAAGCGAGCGAGCGAGCGAGCGAGCGAGCGAGCGAGCGAGCGAGCGGAGCGAGCGAGCGAGCGAGCGAGCGAGCGAGCGAGCGAGCGAGCGAGCGAGCGAGCGAGCGAGCGAGCGAGCAGCGAGAGAGCGAGCGAGCGAGGAGCGAGCTAGCGAGCGAGCGAGCGAGCGAGCGAGCGAGCGAGCGAGCGAGCGAGCGAGCGAGCGAGCTAGCGAGCGAGCGAGCGAGCGAGCGAGCGAGCGAGCGAGCGAGCGAGCGAGGCGAGCGAGCGAGCGAGCGAGCGAAGCGAGCGAGCAGCGAGCGAGCGAGCGAGCGAGCGAGCGAGCGAGCGAGCAGCGAGCGAGCTAGCGAGCGAGCGAGCGAGCGAGCGAGCGAGCGAGCGAGCGAGCGAGCGAGGAGCGAGCGAGCTAGATGCGAGCGAGCGAGCGAGCGAGCGATGCTATCTATCTATCTATCTATCTATCTATCTATCTATCATCTATCTATCTATCTATCTATCTGATCTATCTATCTATCTATCTATCTATCTATCTATCTATCTATCATCTATCTATCTATCTATCTATCTATCTATCTATCTACTTACATTTTCGCCGTTTTCGAAGGACAGCCAGTACGTTTATGCCAGCCCAGATGGTGACCGGTGGGGAATAAAACATTGCAGTCGGAACATTGCATAGGGCGCCTAAAAATTTAAATAAAACATCTCCCGTTAATATTTCGTTTTTTCAAATTAACACACAAAACAACTTACGTTTGATTACGTCTCTTCTTAACACAACGGCCTCGCCTTATATGTTTCTCCAGGAAACGTTTATAAAAGTAGGTCTTCTTACAATTCGTACACTCATAGACGGGTCCCGAAGTGCCGTGTACACTTTGCATGTGAGCCTTAAGAACTTGTTTCATTTCGAAAATTTGAAAGCAATGAGGACATTGATAACCACGCATGTGTGTCATACCAGCTGCAGCATCTGTCGCTGATACTGAACCACCATTAGTAAGTGTAGCGCCTGCGCCTCCATCTTCTGATGGTGTTATTAATTCAATTTCCGGTATTAATGGCAGCGGTCCATCTTCATCCTCATCATCTTGATCGGTATCACTACCTGTGCCTTCGCCAGCCTCATCATCACTTGCACCATTAGCCTGGATACCGTTTAATTTACTTAAATGCTGTTGCATATACTCATGCATCAAACGTATTGAGTTAAAATCAAATGCAGGTTTTTGTCCATTGGCACTTTTTATTTCACCATCATCTTCTACCAGATCATTATGATGTTGGCGATCATCATCTTCTTCATGTTCATTATGATCACCATTATCTTGATCTAATCTATGATCGCCATTTATTTGTCTTTGTAGATGATGTTTATAAATTTGTTCATCTAATTCTGGTTCCTCTTCCACGTCACTTTTATGTGGGGAATTTTTATGATGTTGTCCATTTGTTATTTCATGTTCTTCAACTTCATCATCTTCCTCCGATTCTAGGGTATTAGTTTGATCTGATTTACTTTCTATTTTACGTATTAAGAGTTGTTGTCTGAAGAAATTATCGGCATCTTCACATTTCTTTTTGAATAGACAGGCCGATATGGTGTTTTTGGCACATGTTATGCAGACTTGTTGCGGTAGGGTATCGCCACGTTCGATCTGAAATTATATTGAATGAATATAGAAGATTTTAGTGAAAAAACATACAATTTTAATTTTAAATTTATCTGAAGCTAATTCTACTGTGTGTACTACACTATATTATACAAACGATAGTCTACTTATAAATCCGGTAATGATCGAGTATATATTCTGATATATGAAATGAAGTCTGGACTTATATTTAGTCTAGAGTTTGGACAATAGTCTAGTTTATAGTTTGGAATAAATCTTAGTCTATAGTCTAGGACTATTGTCTAAATTATGTGTTATATTCTAGTTTATAGTCTAGTCTATAGTCTAGTCAATAGTCTAGTCTATAGTCTAGTCAATAGTCTAGTCTATAGTCTAGTCAATAGTCTAGTCTATAGTCTAGTCTATAGTCTAGTCTATAGTCTAGTCTATAGTCTAGTCTATAGTCTAGTCTATAGTCTAGTCTATAGTCTAGTCTATAGTCTAGTCTATAGTCTAGTCTATAGTCTAGTCTATAGTCTAGTCTATAGTCTAGTCTATAGTCTAGTCTATAGTCTAGTCTATAGTCTAGTCTATAGTCTAGTCTATAGTCTAGTCTATAGTCTAGTCTATAGTCTAGTCTATAGTCTAGTCTATAGTCTAGTCTATAGTCTAGTCTATAGTCTAGTCTATAGTCTAGTCTATAGTCTAGTCTATAGTCTAGTCTATAGTCTAGTCTATAGTCTAGTCTATAGTCTAGTCTATAGTCTAGTCTAGTCTAGTCTAGTCTATAGTCTAGTCTAGTCTATAGTCTAGTCTATAGTCTAGTCTATAGTCTAGTCTATAGTCTAGTCTATAGTCTAGTCTATAGTCTAGTCTAGTCTAGTCTATAGTCTAGTCTATAGTCTAGTCTATAGTCTAGTCTATAGTCTAGTCTATAGTCTAGTATAGTCTAGTCTATATACTAGTCGAGTCTATAGTCTAGTCTATAGACTAGTCTATAGACTAGTCTAGTCTATAGTTAGTTTATAGACTAGTCTAGTCTAGACTATAAAAGACTAGTCTAGTCTAGTCTATAGTCTAGTCTATAGTCTAGTCTATAGTCTAGTCTATAGTCTAGTCTATAGTCTAGTCTATATCTAGTCTATAGTCTAGTCTATAGTATAGACTATAGACTAGACTATAGACTAGACTATAGACTAGACTATAGACTAGACTATAGACTAGACTATAGACTAGACTATAGACTAGACTATAGACTAGACTATAGACTAGACTATAGACTAGACTATAGACTAGACTATAGACTAGACTAGACTAGTCTTTATAGTCTAGACTAGACTAGTCTATAAACTAACTATAGACTAGACTAGTCTATAGACTAGTCTATAGACTAGACTATAGACTAGACTAGTATATAGACTAGACTATAGACTAGACTATAGACTAGACTATAGACTAGACTATAGACTAGACTATAGACTAGACTATAGACTAGACTATAGACTAGACTATAGACTAGACTATAGACTAGACTATAGACTAGACTATAGACTAGACTATAGACTAGACTAGACTATAGACTAGACTATAGACTAGACTATAGACTAGACTATAGACTAGACTATAGACTAGACTATAGACTAGACTATAGACTAGACTATAGACTAGACTATAGACTAGACTATAGACTAGACTATAGACTAGACTATAGACTAGACTATAGACTAGACTATAGACTAGACTATAGACTAGACTATAGACTAGACTATAGACTAGACTATAGACTAGACTATAGACTAGGACTATAGACTAGACTATAGACTAGACTATAGACTAGACTATAGACTAGACTATAGACTAGACTATAGACTAGACTATAGACTAGACTATAGACTAGACTATAGACTAGACTATAGACTAGACTATAGACTAGACTATAGAAGACTATAGACTAGACTATAGACTAGACTATTGACTAGACTATAGACTAGACTATTGACTAGACTATAGACTAGACTATTGACTAGACTATAGACTAGACTATAAACTAGAATATAACACATAATTTAGACAATAGTCTAGACTATAGACTAAGATTTATTCCAAACTATAAACTAGACTATTGTCCAAACTCTAGACTAAATATAAGTCCAGACTTCATTTCATATATCAGAATATATACTCGATCATTACCGGATTTATAAGTAGACTATCGTTTGTATAATATAGTGTAGTACACACAGTAGAATTAGCTTCAGATAAATTTAAAATTAAAATTGTATGTTTTTTCACTAAAATCTTCTATATTCATTCAATATAATTTCAGATCGAACGTGGCGATACCCTACCGCAACAAGTCTGCATAACATGTGCCAAAAACACCATATCGGCCTGTCTATTCAAAAGAAATGTGAAGATGCCGATAATTTCTTCAGACAACAACTCTTAATACGTAAAATAGAAAGTAAATCAGATCAAACTAATACCCTAGAATCGGAGGAAGATGATGAAGTTGAAGAACATGAAATAACAAATGGACAACATCATAAAAATTCCCCACATAAAAGTGACGTGGAAGAGGAACCAGAATTAGATGAACAAATTTATAAACATCATCTACAAAGACAAATAAATGGCGATCATAGATTAGATCAAGATAATGGTGATCATAATGAACATGAAGAAGATGATGATCGCCAACATCATAATGATCTGGTAGAAGATGATGGTGAAATAAAAAGTGCCAATGGACAAAAACCTGCATTTGATTTTAACTCAATACGTTTGATGCATGAGTATATGCAACAGCATTTAAGTAAATTAAACGGTATCCAGGCTAATGGTGCAAGTGATGATGAGGCTGGCGAAGGCACAGGTAGTGATACCGATCAAGATGATGAGGATGAAGATGGACCGCTGCCATTAATACCGGAAATTGAATTAATAACACCATCAGAAGATGGAGGCGCAGGCGCTACACTTACTAATGGTGGTTCAGTATCAGCGACAGATGCTGCAGCTGGTATGACACACATGCGTGGTTATCAATGTCCTCATTGCTTTCAAATTTTCGAAATGAAACAAGTTCTTAAGGCTCACATGCAAAGTGTACACGGCACTTCGGGACCCGTCTATGAGTGTACGAATTGTAAGAAGACCTACTTTTATAAACGTTTCCTGGAGAAACATATAAGGCGAGGCCGTTGTGTTAAGAAGAGACGTAATCAAACGTAAGTTGTTTTGTGTGTTAATTTGAAAAAACGAAATATTAACGGGAGATGTTTTATTTAAATTTTTAGGCGCCCTATGCAATGTTCCGACTGCAATGTTTTATTCCCCACCGGTCACCATCTGGGCTGGCATAAACGTACTGGCTGTCCTTCGAAAACGGCGAAAATGTAAGTAGATAGATAGATAGATAGATAGATAGATAGATAGATAGATAGATAGATAGATAGATAGATAGATAGATAGATAGATAGATAGATAGATAGATAGATAGATAGATAGATAGATAGATAGATAGATAGATAGATAGATAGATAGATAGATAGATAGATAGATAGATAGATAGATAGATAGATAGATAGATAGATAGATAGATAGATAGATAGATAGATAGATAGATAGATAGATAGATAGATAGATAGATAGATAGATAGATAGATAGATAGATAGATAGATAGATAGATAGATAGATAGATAGATAGATAGATAGATAGATAGATAGATAGATAGATAGATAGATAGATAGATAGATAGATAGATAGATAGATAGATAGATAGATAGATAGATAGATAGATAGATAGATAGATAGATAGATAGATAGATAGATAGATAGATAGATAGATAGATAGATAGATAGATAGATAGATAGATAGATAGATAGATAGATAGATAGATAGATAGATAGATAGATAGATAGATAGATAGATAGATAGATAGATAGATAGATAGATAGATAGATAGATAGATAGATAGATAGATAGATAGATAGATAGATAGATAGATAGATAGATAGATAGATAGATAAATAGATAAATAGACATTAATGACTAGTACTTTTCTTGATTTTGTTTGTTTTTGTGAAATTTCAGGCCCTTGCAACAACTTTTCAAACAAAATATCGTGCAATATAACAATTTCCCCAGACGCATTGGCATACGCAAACCGGAAAATGCTATTTATCTCCATAACAGAAAGTAAGTTCAAATATTACGGTGTTTCTAAATTATTAGTTTTATTAAGAAATAAAACATTTAAACATTCCCTCCGTTTACAGAATTATCATGGCCAACAACAAACGCAAGGGACGCACTCGCATCAAGTTAGATGCGAAGAAAATTGCCTTGGCCAAACAATTGATACTAAGGGAAGCCACCACCACTGTTATTGCTAATGAATTGAATATATCACGGACATTTGCCTGGCGTTTGCGTAAAAGTCTTGTCAATGGCGTCAGTTTGCATGAGCGTGTCATTGATCCTCCGGAAGATGAAGAAGAGGATAATGATAACAATGAAACTGAAATGCCCGATAATGGACTCGACACATTAGCAATAGAAAAACCCGAAAATCAATTAAATCATCAGCCCTTTACCGAACACATCAAACGTGAACGGCCAGCTACCGAAGATGAAGAGGAAGATGATATTAATGATAATAATCAAGAAACAGATAATGAGGAACAACACCATCACCAACAGCAACTGGAGCAACATCACCTGGAACTACAACAACAGCAACAAGAACAATTATTAAGAGAAAGTAATAATTTTAGTAATGCCACTTCAGTAATACAACGAACAAATGAATTGAAATTAAATAATGCTCAGCAGCAAACACAACAACAACAACATTTATCAACTGCAACAACAAACGCCATATTAGAACAACATAAATTGCACAATAAAATATCTGTAGTACAACAACAAAGACTTATGGAAATTAATAAAAATGCTCACCTTAATAATAACAATGATGACGCTAGCGATTCGGACAGTGATAATGATGATGATGATCATCATCAATATCAACGTTCTCATCAGACACACGAACAACAAATACAACAAGAGACTGAACATGTAAATAGTCAACAACAACAACAACAATCTTTATATTTACAAAAATCAATTAATTTAAAAGATACTGAAGATGCTCCTTCAAATCCCTTGGGCAATGCTAAAAAATTGCCTCTATTAAATCAGATATCACCAGCTGTAGCAGCTGCTATGTAAGTTTAATAAGTTTTTATTGATTTAATGAATTTGTTAATTACATTAATGTATTTGTTGTTTATTTTTTATAGTCATCAATTACCTGTCAATCTTTCAATACGTCCCATTGCTTCTATGCAGAATAGTGAAACGTAAGTGAAAAATTTTAGATTTTCTAATAAAATTTTGGGTTTTTAATGAAAATTCGGATATTTAGTGAAAATTAGAAATTTTAGTGAAAATTTGGATTTTTAGTTAAAAATCCATATTTATAAAAACTGGGTTTTCAAAGAATATTTAAATTTTTAATGAATTTAGTAAAAATGTCTATTTTTAGTGAAAATTTTAATTTTTAGTGAAAATTTTTATTTTGTATAAAAATTTGAATTTTTAGTGAAAATTGTAATTTTTAATGAAAATTTGAATTTTTAGTGAAAATTTGAATTTTATTGTAAAAAAATTGAATTTTTAGTGAAAATTTTAATTTTTAATGAAAATTTTAATTTTTAGTGAAAATTTTAATTTTTAGTGAAAATTTTAATTTTTTGTAAAAATTTGAATTTTTAGTAAAAATTTGATTTTTTAGTGAATATTGGAAGTTTTAATGAAAATTTGAATTTTTAGTGAAAATGTGAATTTCTAGTGAAAATTTGAATTTTTAGTGAAATTTGAATTTCTATGTAGTGAAAATTCTGGTTTTTAGTAAAATTTTTTATTTCGAATTTTAATAAACATGTCTTTATAACCAATTTAAAACCCCAATTACAGATCATCGAACAACCTCAGTGGTTCCAAGAAGAAACCCCGCAAACCCAACGTTTTCATAGACGATGAAAAATATGCCATGGCCAAAATGTTGGTGGCACAAAATGCCTCAACTATGGAAATAGCCAAGGCCCTTAATGTCTCACAAATGACTGCTTGGAAATTAAGAGATGCCATAATAAAGGGAGTACCGCTATCATATCGCAATAGACGTGATATTCGCATGACCATGATGAGACACGATGAAGACACGGGCAGCGTATTAAGTGAAGGTAGTGATACAAGACGAGAAACGGATACAGAAAGACAGCAACAGGCCCTACTGGTGCAGCAGCAATTGGACCACCAACAGAAATTGCAGCAACAACATTTACAACAGCAACAACAAATCCAACAACTGCTACAAAGACAACAACAGTTGCAACAGCAGCAACAACAACTGGAACAGCAAAAACTACAACGCCAACAGGAAAGAGAACTTGAACAGCAACAACAACAACTACTGCAAAAGCAACAAAAACAATTGCAACAACAAACAACCACCCAACAACAACCCAACCACCCTGAACAAAAACACTCTAATCCCAGACGTCGCCTTAAGGCCGCCGAACGTGAAGTACGCGATAAAGAAATTACTCGCGAAATTTTAGAACTAATTAAAGAAGATAACAATATACAATACTGGAAAGTATCGGCTCGCTTGGCCGAAAAAGGTTATGCTATATCACCTTCTTCTGTATGTCAAAAACTAAAATCTATGGGTATACACAGGCGCTGGAAGCCGGGTGATAAACCCCCTCTCATCGATATGGAACAACTTAAAGGCGCTAGCAGTGCCAATCATATCAACAATAACAACAACAACAGCAGTATAGCAGCTTTAGCTACTGCGGCAGCTAATGCACAGAATGCATCATCATCGGCCGATGAAAGTTATGAGCAGCAATTCGATATGAGTGGTGCTCATTTCTTGAGTGCCTTTACTACACGTTAGAAAGGAAATAACAACAATAAGAATTGACTTTAGTATAAACTATAGTTAAGACTACTTCTCTTGATAGTCTAGCTTTAGTCTAAATTA